GAGAGACAAATATGGTCAATCTNAAAAAAACAATATTTTTATAATAAATAAATATTTTATTGAATTATATATCGACCATTTTGGTCAAATACCTGTTGTCATCGTTTCTGGTAGTAGCATGATTTCACATTCATAAAAGTTTTGATCGTTGCTTACAAAAAACTGATCCAAGTGATTATTGAATTATATATCAACCATTTTGGCCAAATACCTGTTGTCATCGTTTCTGGTAGTAGCATGATTTCACATTCATAAAAGTTTTGATCTTTGCTTACAAAAAACCGATCCAAGTGATTTTTGACATTCTCATTTCAAGTAAATGTCTTACAGTTAAAAAAAATTTGTATAGACCGGAACAAGTAATAATCTGAGTGTGCTCGATCTGGTGAATATGGTTGGTGTGATAGCTTGTGTGAAATTTGACATTATCGTGGTAAAACACTACACCTGTTTTGTTGATCAATTCTGGCCACCTTTTCTGTTTGATGATATTATTCAATTTGTTTACTCGATGGCAGTACACTTTCGAATCAATTGTTAAATTGTCTGGTAAAAGCTTCTAAAAAAATTTCCTTAAAATCCCACCAAAGAGAGCATCTCTCTTTAAGAACAGGTGGAACCCATATATCAAGCTTTGAAACAAAACCAATTTGTTTCAAGTAATCATAAACAGTTCAATTTGACAAATTTAATCTCTTAGTAATTTCACATGTTGTTATTCGGCAGTTTGCTTCAATCAATACCTTTATTTTGTTTTCATTGGCTTCAACTGGCCATCCAGAACATGGTGCATCTTCAATATTGAAATTGCCAGAACAAAATTTTGTAAACCAGTTTTGGCACTGTCGTTCTGTCAATATATCTTCTCTGTACACATCACACAAATTTTTTTCTTGCTTGAACAGCATTCTTACCTTTTCGGTAATAAAAGAGCAAAGTATGCCGAAAATGCTGCTTTCAATCTTCCATATTTGATGGGACACAAAAAATAAACAATTGCACAAAATCAAACAAAATTTTTTACAAATAAGCCTTAAAATGCTAGCTGTCAAAATATATAATGATAATACAGTTTAGAATGAAAATGGTGGAAAAAATACGACTAATCCATCTAGTGGTAAAAAAAAACGAAATTACTTTCCGAACAACCCAATAATTACAGAGATAGAATTATTAAATAACAGCACTACATTATGAATTGAAAGGAACAATCTGTTATTTTCTGGAAACCAAAATATTTATTTGGAAATGCTTTTGTTCATTTATATGACCAACTCCAGCTAACCACGAATTCAAAAACTGGCATAGAATCTTTATTTTGTCATTTCTGACATACAAATTACTATTTTGGTTGTTTAAAAAATAGTAGATTAATTCAATCATATTAAGAAAACAAAAAATATTTAATGTCTTAACTAATTTGTAATTTAAATTACCTTCAGCAGTAAGAAAACAATTGAGATGAACTTGACAATGTTTGTTAGACTGAGATTCCACTAGTGTAAAAACACTCATCATAATTATTTTTAATCATGTAATGACGATATTTTATGCCAGAGTAGGGCCTACCTAATACAAGTGTAAAGTGAGTCAAGCAGTGTTCAACGTTTGATCTAAATACTTCCATAAAATGATACCATCAACCAATCAGAAGTCAGTAAACATCATTGCGACATCATGCAAAAATTGTGAACGACAAGCTTTCATGCATGTTTGCTCTATTCTGTTGCTCTCTCTCTCACACCATTTAGTGCTTGTGAAGTGTTTTTTGACTAGTTTTAACATTAGTTATAAACAACCAAGCTATTATATTTTGTTTCCATCAATTTACATGCAAAAATTGTTTTTCTTTGACACTTGGTGTCAGCAGAGCCGGCCCTACCATAGGGCAAATGGAGCAGCCGCTCCAGGCGTTAAGTCCTAGGGGGTATCTCAGTGGTAAAGAAAATTAAAAGGAAAAAATATTTTTTTCACTTTTCAATATTTTAATTGCAAGCGTATGGCCAGTATGTGAATGGCCTTATCTGTTGAGACGCATGTGGGTCGAGTGTGTGGGTGGGGTTCCACCCCTGGGCACCATAATAGGATCTCGCTCCATCCTAAAACTTGCCTTGGGCTGGCACTGGGTGGCAGCACCGTTGCTGTAAAATCTTTGCTACTGGAGCCACACCTCCACCACAAACTGAACACAAACACAAATAGGTCATGTGATTAAAAATAATTACAGTGAGAATTTTTAAGCTTGAGTCTAAACCTTATATTATATAAAATTATAGAAAAGTTATTAATTAGTACTTTTGTGTTGTATTATTACAATTTTTTGTAATAATACAACATAAATTGATAGTATTAAATGAAACACAATATTTGAAATTCAAAATGAATTTTTTAAAGTAAATTATGTATATTAATTACGTAGTATTACTTTATGATTCTTATTATTAAAAAAAAATCCTCTCTCTGCCTAAATTTATAATTAATGAGCAATTATTTATTGTGACATGGTCACAATGCTGGGCTACAATTTTTAATAGATTTAATTTAAAATATATGCTCTCCACCTCAAATTAGTAATGGCTTGCCCCTGTATATCATACTTTTCTGGTTAGCAACAGAGTCGTGCTGGTCACACATCTAACTCCTTTCAGGAAAAATTTTTGAATCGAAATAACATAACTTCTGGTGAAAGCCAGAAGTTCATATATAGTTAATCGGGCCTCCTGTCCCTATGCTTTCCATATCTGGTCTTATTTTTCATCTACCTAACTCCATTCTTGAGATTAAGGAAAGACAGACAGATGACAATGGGAATTTATAGGTCTACAATTTTTTCAAATTTCAGCCCAAAAACTTTTGTACATTTTCCATCTTGTAGAGTCTTTAACCAAATCCATTATTAGTTTGGTCAGACCCACAATATAATGACAAAATAGTAAGGAACAGAACCTGATATATCTAAGATAGATGAAAATTTCTAAAGAATCAGACCTAAACCTAGATCCAGGTCTCTGAGTACAAACATGCATTCTAGCTAGGATAGATGTCTATTACTTCTATCAATTTTTAGATTAACTTACAACTGTTAAGTTTATATCACCTTCTTGATGTTAATGAAAAAAAATTTAAAAATAATAAGAACCAAATTTAATTTATCTTATTATTTTAAAAAGTAAAAATTATTCTATTTAAAACAGAAGCAACTATTGTACTATTGCAAAAACAGAGATAAAACTGCTTTCAGACTACTGATGACAATGGCCACAGATCCTAAACAATAATGGTGTATACATTAGACTTAGCATTATTCCATGGATTTTCACACTTTTAGACCAGATTTATCTGTTTTAAACATGGATATGCAGAGTAAAATGTTAATTCTTTGACACTGATGAACCAAGGAGCTTTCTGCAGCTTTCTTCAACAAATGAGAATGAGATTACACACATTCCTCCATCTTGTTCTACGAGATTGTGAGAAGTTCATGTTTATTGGCCAATACCATTACAAAAATGATAAATGTTGAATCTGCTAACTCTCAAACAATGAACAACTATAATTAAAATATAACAATAATGACTAGCATGAACATTTTACAAAGACAAATGATGAAAATATCTTTTTTTGTTGTTGTCATTGGCAATGTGAATGCAGCCTAACTCTGTAGTATATGACTCAATTGAAGTTCAACCCTACATACAATTGTGAGAGCTTGGACTGGATGGAAATTTTATTTAACAACAACAATATATATTTTATTAAGTAAATAATGCTTAAATTTCTCATATTATATAAAGATATATTTTTCCCAACACTTAATAAAAAATGGAAGAATGTGATTGTATCTTCTCCATATTCACTTTCTTTCAAAAGGTGACACATCTTCCAAATGTGTGTGTCACCCAGGAATTTTGGACCGAAATTCATCTATTAGTCAAAAAACTTAACATTGCCTAAAAAGGGCATCAAAATCAAGGGGAAGGACCCCCAAAATAAAAAAAAAAAATAGAATCAATGACAACAACGAGAGTTCACTAATCCACCTCCTCAAGAAAGGATATTCCAGCCGTGCTCCTCCCACTGTTGCTGTTCCCCAGACTGTAGCTGTTTACACCAGACATTTGAATTTCTTCACCCAGGAGCCCTACTCGACCTGACCCGACAAACTTGAACTTCTCTACCCAGATGCAACTGATCCAAGACCGTCCAACATTATAGCAGCAGACTAAACTGAACTAAAATAATAAAGAGCGAAGAGTACATCCAACATCCACAATTAAGCATGCTAGTAGTAGCATCAGTCAACTGATTGGAATCCTGAATTGTGTATTAAAAACGACATTTTTTACAGTTAAATTTTAAGGTAAACAATGAAGGCAGGTTGCCATTTCAAAATTACAAAACTTGTTTTTGTTAACTGTTTGCACCATCTATTGAGTACAAGTCAGATGAAATAAAGAATGGGGTGCTGACGTCATTGATGGTGTTAGATCTATATGAACCAAACCAGTTTTACTGCTTATTTCTGCATTATTTCAATTATTCGGCTAATCTGAACAGGGCTCAGTCCCAATTAGTTCAGACTAGTGGGACTCCACTGTATACTAAATAATGCAATGTAAGCTTTAGCAATTGTTTATTGCTATAGAAGCAAGAACAGAAATGCTTATCCTCTGTATACATATCTAAATGTAAATAAATAAATGGGTATTATTTTTTTGTAATTCAAGTTGTAGTGTGCACTTCTTTCAGAAGTGCTGTCTCTTGGACATCCTCCATTCTGAATCAGACTGCTTACGTACGCTACTGCTCACGAAACAATAAAACGCTTACATTGAGCAACAACGGTGTCAGTCCTGATGTAGGCATCACTGATCCAGTGCCTTTGGTCACACAATTATTGCTGACAACTGTATGTAATTTAATTATTTTAAGATTTTCTGCTTATATTTATCAAGTGAGAATAAACTATTTTACAAAAAATTTAAAAAAATCTCACTTACCTGGAGGTAGTGGTTGCTGAGGTGAGTAATATGCTGGTTGTTGCATTGGAGGTTGTTGGCCATACCAGGGTTGATGAGTGGGTTGAGGATATGCCATTAACTGATCAGGAAAACCAATACCAGGTCGAATGGCATGGGTTGGCTATCAGAAAACTCATTATTAATAATTTAAAATAATACTATTCTTAATAATCAAAAAATAATATAGTTTTAATTCAGTTACATCTATTTTTCAAAATTAAAATTTGTGTAGTTTTTATACTTTTATTGTTGAATATGTATATATATAATAAGAAGACAGATTATTACAGGAATGTTTTGTTTTCATTTGAATTTTTGGAGATTTTTGAATGATTTTAATTTTAAAATATTAATATTTCACAAAAATAAATATTAGAAAAAAGTATATTTTTAGGAATAGATGAAAAGAACATTTAATAATTTATTTATATTAGGGATATTTAATGTAGGACATAAAATATTTCGCAAATTCAAGCTATAGATATTGTGAGAAGAATCATCATTCAATATAGAAGCAAATTGTTCCTTTTTTGAACTGACATTTTTTGATGCAGATTTCAATGTATTAATGAAATATATTTGCTGTTGTCCATTTACATTTACTTTGTACTTGGAATAATTTTGCAATTGCATTCTGAGTTAATTGTTGTGTGGTGGCATGAAGTCAATCAACAGCAATTGATACAGCAGAGATTACAGTGTGTGCCTGACCTGGTCTCAGTTTATCCTGATATCCTGAATTGACTTATGGCCTTCTCTGTAACTCTTGCAACAATTATTCACTGCTGTTTGTCCTAAACAATGTTTACCATAAGTGTACTTCATTCATCTATAGATGTCAATGCTCCTATTCCATTCATCCACTAAAAACCGAACTACTACCCATTGTTCGATTCTGGATGTTTCCATCATAGCTAACTTAACAATTACCAATTACTGGAGATAAAATCTATTCCTGCCAATACTTAATGCAGCCTTTGCTTTGCCTATGTTGAGCTTATCTGCCCGTAAAGTGGCCCATCAATCGCTACTTTGCATGATGAAATATGATACGTGTCCACTTTTCATTTGGGCAACTCTTATATTTATCATAACAAATTACTTATTTTACAAATAAACAAACCTGTCCATTTGGCATTTTTGCCTGTCTTCTTCTTCTTTGAGTTTTTGGTTTCTTTGCACCACCACGAGGAGATTGTTCACTTGGAGTCTCACGTCCTCTTTTAATTTCTTCTACCTAATAAAAAACATTAATTAATTCTGCAATTATTTGATTGAGAGAATTTACAACTAAAACTAATATATAAACATATTTGATTTTTACCAAACAAACTGGTGGAAGCTGTTTTTCAGGGCATGGATCAAGATCCTCAGGAGGTAATGGAGGTGGATCAAGATAATAACTGCTGGATTTTTTAAGAGAATGAGTATGCCATAGCAATAATCTATGACCTTCTTCTTGCCTTAAAGGCTTTCTTTCTAAGCGAACTGCACCAAACCAAGCCCACGACAATGGTGCTGGATTTTTGTGGCCTTCTAATAAATCCCATGGACTTACTTTTTGAGTTTCAGCAACTTGTAAACCCTACATTAATTGAAATTAGAAATTAATATATTATAGTTTGTTATCCTGTTTTTAGTTTTAAAAAATTTTACTAAACTGCAATTGAATGAATTTTGAAACATGAAAATTAGATCATGAATTAGTTTTTAATATAATCATGCAATAAAAATTATTTTTTATTTTAATACATTGACACTTGTTAACCAGTTTTCATTTGCTATTTTTACATTAATTCTTTTAAAATAGAAAATAGCATTCTCAAATTAAAATCTCATATTAACTAATAATCAAATGATAGAAACAGATTAAGTGTCAGGATGCAACCTGGTTAATTAATTATACATATAACACAATTGAAACTAAAGATAGATGGTTATGTCACCATCTTGTATTAAATTTAATAATTAGAAATAAATTAATTTATCTGGGCTTGTATTAATTTAAATTAATAGAAAATATTAGTTTTGTTTAAAAAACAGGCTTTATATATGTGAACATCAATTAACTGATTTAATACAAAGTACCAGCACATTTAAGTTATATAAATGACATAATTTTGTCCATCACAGACAGATCTAAACAATATCAGTGAGTCAGCATGAATGAGAAACAGGAACATCCCAACCATACTAAAAACGTTAAATTTTGGAATGTGAATTAGATTTGAATCCAGATTTCTACAATGACAGGCTGACATCTTATTCTGTTTCTAACCACAAAGCTGATTTAATATGCAAACAAATTTATTTTGAATTATGTGCATAGTAAATTTGTTTTTATTTTTCTATATTCTGCTTATCAAGAATGCAAAATTAAAGATTTTCATCCTCATTGAATTCATGAATTATGATAATTTTTTACAATGCTGATTATATTGTTAAAAATCAATTTTAGTATAATCAAGAAATAAAATTATATACAAAAGAAATTCATAAATCCAGCACTGATAAGATCAGAGTACTGCCAGATTATGTAATGTTTTTGTATTTTCACAAAATTTGAAAAGTCATATGTGATCTGAATGATACAGACACAGACCGTACATTTTGTTCCAGTAAAGCTGTTTGACCAGACAAGGTGCTGTTACAACATAAGTAATTTTTCTTGATAACATTGCTGTCAGTCCCACACTTGAACTCCTGACAGAGCAATGTGAAGCCTACCATTTCCCCTAAATTTTGGCTGTTGTCACATATATATATATATATACTTATCCTTGAATTATTATTAACATTATCTTGTATAATTTTAATTACATTATTTCAAACTAATAATGTATTCTCTTTAAATAATAAGTTGGAAATTTTATTGTATTTTAAACTATATATGAGGTCTGTTAAAATAATAACTGAACTTTTCGAATTGGGCAAAAATGGAGTGTCTTAGTGTCATGAATTTGACAACACTATGCTTGTGATAACTTATAGAGTAAGCTGCTTTTTTTGGATTGTTAATATCTCGTTTTGTTCCCGCATTATTGTTTTCTGAGAGAAAGGTGTTTCAGTGTTTGTGGTGATTTTTGCAATGTGTGATTTACGGGGTGCAACTTGAATTTTGCGTGAAATTGGGAAAATGTTTACAGAAACATTTCAACTTTTGAATCAAGCTTAAGAAAGTGCTGCTCTAGGTCGTATGCAATGTTATAAATGGTTTACCTGATTCAAAAGTGGTTAATTAGTTGAAGATGATCTTCCACCTCAATTGATGACACTCACATTCAGAAAATCAGAGTTGTGCACTTTAAATTTTTGCCTCAAGGTCAAACAGTCAATTGTCAGTACTACGCAGATGTTTTAAAACAGTCGCATGAAAAAATTTGCAAGAAGAGACCAGAGTTTAGCAAGACAACTCATGATTCCTTCACCATGACAATGCACCTGCTCACTCAACATTGTCAATTTGCTAGTTTTGTGCCAAAAATCAAAATGATTGTCCTCCCAGCCTCCCTACTCACCAGACCTGGCTCCTTGCAATTTTTTCTTGTTTCCAAAATTAAAAGCAGTACTGAAAGTACACTATTTTGACACAATTGATGACATTAAAACAAATTCATTACAAGCATTGAAGGACAATCCAAAACAAGCTTACCAGGAATGCTTTGCAAAGTGAAAACACCACTGGGATAAGTGTGTGAATAGAGGAGGGAGTACTTTGAAGGGGACAAGGACCAATAATCTGTAACTTGAAAAATAAAAATTAAAAAAATAAAGTTCAGTTATTTTTTGAACTGACCTCTATATATTTGATATATATATTTTTTTGTTCTGTCTGGTTGTTCATCAAACTGTTAGCTATCAGACAAGATGCCCTTTGCACCCACCCCTTCTAGATGTGCGAATGGAACAATGGGATTGTTTATGTTATCAAGCAACATTGTAAAGGAATTTTACCTATTTTTTCAATTTTAGGGACTCTCCATTCTAAATTTTTAGCAATACCAATTAAAAATAATTAAAAGTAACAAATTAGAATAAAAAATTATCAATCAATTATTATTAATCTCATAACATTTGGAGGAAAAGACAAAGGGAATGACTGTCATTTCCCCCTTTTTCAATAGTGTTAGGTGACAGTTACTACTTTATTCATATCACATGGACACAAACAATTCATATTGGACAAGAGAGAAGGAGGACTAAAATAACCAATCAAGCTTCTCTCTCATGACCTGAACTTCCTCTGGAATAAAATCATGATTGTTCAAAAAAAAAAAAAAAAAAGAAACAATGAAAAACACTGAGAAAAAGAGAGGAAGAAAGGAGAGAAGAGTAAACACAACATCCAGAAAGAGAGTCAACTCCTAGAAAAGAGAGCCAACTCAACAATAGAGAGCTGCACCAGATGAGTGTATCAAATCTGGAGGAAATAAAACAATGAAAAGAGAGAGATAAGGAAGGAAAAGAATAAGGTGCAAAAAGAAGAAAAAGAACCAAAAAGAAGACAGGTCTTTGAAGAGAAGATAACTTTTTTCCTGGTAAGGTGTGAGTTATGATCAAGGTGTGAGAAGTTCAGATATCCCATTAAGTATCCCAGATTTAATAGTATAGAAATAGGCTAACTTCTGAGGATAGATTTGTCTTTCCAGATTCTGGCATAATGTCATAGACAGTAATATCAATTTTAAGCTTAATTTTAGTGTTATGTTTAGTTTTTGTATTAAATTTTTCTTTTTATTTTTAAGTTGGTTTAATTGATTTTGCATTCATCCTCCTGAGAGGATCATTCCTAGACTTTGAGTAACTCTTACCTTATATATCTTGGTCTTTTATAGAGTTTAAATCAGAGGTGTGTCCAATAATACACACCTGGTAGCAGGATCCCTAACTAAAACTTTTGAATCTCAATTTTGACAGCCCAAGCTCCACAGCAATGTGAACAGCTGCACTCTAATCTTTGCCTAGATTTCTGCTCAGGGTCTCTACACATTCCATACACAATTTGTGTGTATGAAATGAGTAGAGACCATGCCCAAACAAATTCCAATTCACAGAATATTATCATGCCAATTACTGTTAGAAAATTCCAGATTATTAGGTGCTGAATTAACACACTTCTACTAAACATGTTAAATGATTTATTAACTTCAAGTTAAAAAATTTGATGTAGAAAATTCTTTAAATTAAATGAAATTAACTTTAAAAATTTTAATTGGTGAAGCTATATTCAGTTTACTAAGTATATATTCTAACTCCATGGTGCGCAAACTTTTTTCGACTGCGACCCCTTTTGTAGAGAGAAAATTTTTGGCGACCCCTAGAGATAAATGTTCACAAATACGATGTATATTTCGCGCATTTCTTTCGTTTCATCGAATAAAAACATCATCATATCTGACTCATATTAATTTTATTTATAATTTTAAGAAAATACTTTTTGTATAACATAAAAATCAGTAAATTTCCCTTTAATGAGATGTATGTGGCTGCAAGTTTCTAATTATCTCATTGATGCTTGGATGTATGTTGCTAATTGCAATTCGCATATCATCTTCAAGGTTTAAACGCGAGCGGTATTTAGTTTTTATTGAAACTAGTTTGCTAAATCCAGTTTTCACATAAATACGTTGATGCAAATTGTATTAAAACCCTGATGGCATTCTTGCATAAAACGGGATATTGCTTTTCCACGGATAGCCAAAATTTTTGGCAAGGCTGAGTCTTAAATTGATTTTGAAGAGTATAATCACTAATTAAATCTATCAATTGCTCTTTCTCACTAATTTGAAGAGTTGAACTGCATATAGATCACGAATCCAACCAAGATCATTTTCAGGGAAATCCTTGAATCTTCTGCATGAAATTGCAATTAAACAGTGAGTGACGGCGCTTCACTCTTTATATGTACACTGTATGGTATGCAGCATGCAGGCATAAGGCATTTCATAAATATTTGGCGACCCCCAAAAAACTTCTGGCGACCCCCACAGGGGTCGCGACCCCTAGTTTGCGCACCACTGTTCTAACTGACCAATTCTGTGTTATCAGGAAAAATTATATAATCACTTAATAAACATTTAAACATGGTGTGAAGTAAAAACGAAAAAAATAGAATTGTTTTAGATTATGATTCTAATATTAAAAGTATGCATGAGATTTTGGTTTTATTTACTGAGATGAATATTTTCGATCGATACTTTCTGTGAAGGTGCATTGACAGTGCTGTGAGAAGACTTCTAACTTTTACATAGATGATTTTGCATACCTTGTGCAGCATTGGTATAAGTATGTGGCTGCAGGTGGAACTAAGTAATTTGACACAGGACATTTCAAACTTCCAAGTGACACGTAAATTTGTGTGTATGTGTAGTAATAAAAATGTTATGGCCATGAAGGCATATGCCAGTGCAGATTATGTTAAAATTTAATTTTTTTTAGCTCCAGCAATTTTTTGTTATATTCTGGTATGAGTTTTACATTCCTGTGGATCATCCATATGAATAACTTTAATTGTCTATGACAAACTGCTTAAATCTCAATAAAATTAAAACATGAATTGCTCACCAGCAGGATGATATCTTATTAACTAGCCAACAAAAGGGTGTCCCATTAACAGTGCTGGATGTAAATTGCAGTATGGATAAGGAAGATACGGAGTTT